TATATCATGTACAGGTACAAACACCCAATGATAAATGTAAATGAATTGTATACCTAAAATGTACCAATAAAATTAATTTTTTAAAAAAAGAAATTTAAATAAAATAGCAAGGAAATACAGGAGTTCAGAAAATTTCCATTTGTATCATCATATTCACAAAAGAGAAAAACTTGAATTTTCCCCATTTGAGATGGATTTAATTTTTTAACCTTAATAATTGGTATTTAGGGGCCTGGGATTTAGTTCAGTGGTTCCACCACCTGCCTCACAAGCACAAGGTCCTGAGTTCCATCCGGTACCAAAAAATAATTAGTATTTAGAGAGCTAATCAAGCATTTATCCTTGAAAAAATATTTTCGTACTATATCAAATAGCCTTGTTTAATAAAGAGAAATCTGTTTTATTCAAGAATATAAGAATTTCACAAACTCTACTCTTTTTCTGTTTGTTTTGATACCAGGGATCAAACTCAGGACTTTGCGCTTTCGAGTCAGGCAGCGGAACCACTGAGATAAATGCCTGGCCCTGGTTTTTTTTGGCAGTTCAGGCTAGCCTCAAACTTAGCCAATCCTCCTGCCTCAGCCTCCTGAGTGCTAGGATTACAGGTGTGCACCACCACACCCAGCTTTCTACTGTATTATTGATTCAAGGAAGAATTATCAATTTACTTTTAAAACCATTAGATGATAAAAAGAAAACCTAGACATTCCTTTTTTTATTGTTTTATTTTTTTTAGTAATGGGGATCAAACTCTGGTCCTTGTGCTTGTGCAGCAGGCTGCAAAACCACTGAGTTAAATCCCTGGCCTTTTTTTTAAATCTTTTTAGACAGGATCTCACTGTGTAGTTCAGGCTGGCTTGGAACACACTATGTAGCACAGGCTGGTCTCAAACTCACAGGGATCCTCCTGCCTCAGCCTCCCGAGTTCTGGATTACAAGTGTGTGTCAACACTCCTGGCTGGACATTCTTGTAATGTCAAAATAGCATGACACTAGTTTGTGATCACAAGGGAAAAAAAATATAACTGCAGTGGGAGATGTCAAAATCATTGTCCCAATGGGCAGATATATTTTAGCATATTAATCAGTAAGTATTATGATGTGTTGCAACCTACATGTTCGTAGTTCCTATGATATAGTTTAGCCAAAAGATTTGACTTAAATCTGTCAAATCTTTAAATATAGTATTTAGCTTTGGGGAAATTCAGCAGATAAACCCTGCTTAATAGAGGAATAAACTAAATAACAGTATCAGATTATAACCACATAAATCCAGAAGTCAGAGCATTCTATGGAAAGAGATGGCTGTCTTCAAGACAAAGTCATTTTAAAAAAGAAGATTCTGGTCAGAGATTTAGCTCAGTGGTGCCTCCGCCTGCCTCCCAAGCGCAAGGTTCCCATTCCGATCCCTGGTACCAAAAAATAAAAAATAAAATAAAAAATAGAATTCTGGTAGATTATGAAACAGTTATGGAGATAATATCCAGAAACAATGTGTGATCATGGCTTGCATACTAATTTGAACCAGTTAAGGAAAGCTAAACATGCTCTGGAAGTACTAATAAAATTTACAGGTACAGTAAAGGCAAGAATTGATGGAAAATACAGGTTACTAAATTGTATGTATGGTATGGTCTAGTTTTGATTAAAAAGTCTAGGAGGGCCGGGGATTTAGCTCAGTGGTTCTGCTGCCTGCCTTTCAAGCACAAGGTCCCAAGTTCAATCCCCAGTACCAAAAAAAAAGTCTGGGAGATTTGTGTGTGTATAGAAAAAAATCTAGAAAAATATATACTATCTGAATGTGATTTAATTTGATTTGATTATGTGTATATATGCAAATGTTATACTGCTTCTGCAATAAAATAAGTTACATAGCACATAATTTATAGTCTTGCATGTAGTTCCAGTTTGGAAGTTTCACATATTTGAGTAGTACATATAACATATTCAGTGTTTAAATTTTAAGTTTCTGTAAAACCACAGTGTTCTGTTTCTTCATTTCTTAGGTAGAGAACCTGGATTTTTTACTCCTATTAAAGACAGTTGAGGAATTCTATAGAAGTAAAGATGATGAAAATTTGGAAATTGTCTGTCCAATTCAAGATCAAGCCTGTGTAGCTAAATTTGAAGATGGAATTTGGTACCGTGCAAAAGTCATTGGTAAGAAAATGCACACTGCTTGCACAGAGAAATATCACATTTCAAAAATTGTTTTGAGTGGATACAAATTAAATCTTGAAATGGTCTCATTACCATTTTCTCTGTCTTTAGAAAGGTAGCTATAATGTTGGTAGATGTATCTCCTGAGATTTTGACTTGATTAGGACTTAACTAATGGGCATTGGCTAGGAAACTATTAGATATAATGCAAAGCAGCAAAAGTTAAGTAGTGAAAACTGGTGATATCTAGCTTCTGATGTCTTTATCATGCTATTTTGTCAAGGTACAAATTGATTATGTAATCTTTTGTGTCCTCTCAGCTTCCTTAGTATTTTCCTCTTTTCTGGGAATTATTTAACATTAGTTATTTTAGCATTTCTCTACCCCTTTTATATACTCAAATGAAGTGATTAAATTCAGCTTATAAAATAATAAAAGGTGGGATTGGAAATAGAAGATTATGAAAAAGATTATAAAAAGGTGCTAGTAACAAAAATAGGAAAACTTATAGTTACTGCCCCAAGCTTAGCTAAAGAGAACAATTACACACTAAGCCTTTGTGGTTTCAGAAATTAGATATACTTAGACAGTTTAGCCCATTTTGTTACATTTTGGTATGGATTGTCCCTCCAGAACTTGTGGAGGGATTTGATCCTCAGCGTGGCAGTACGGGGAGGTGGGAACTGGTGGAAGGTGTTGGGCCACGGGAACGGAGCCCTTGTGAAGGGATTAATGCATTTCTTGGGAGAGCAAGTCCTTGCCTTTGCAGGAAGGGATTGGCTACCCAGAGAGAAGGTTTTTAGGAAGCAGCGTGGTGTGAAATGAGGCTACCCCTTTCACATACACCCACTTGTCTTCCACTTTCCATCCAAAGTGGAAGAAGTTCGAGGCCCTTAGCAGAAGATGAGCAAATGCTGGCACCATGATCTTGGGTTTCCCACCCTCTAGAACCATGAACCAAAATAAAACATCTCTCTTCATAAATTTTTCAGTGTCAGGTATTTTGTGATAGAAACAAAAAATGGACTAAGTCTTATTCTTTTTACAGGCTTTCTAGTTTGTAGATAAGTACCTTTAAAACAAGATTGTAGCTCAGTTTGACACCGTTCAAAATTTTTTTCATTGTTAAGTAATCTAAGATCCTTACCAATTACTTCTAATATCCAAGTTCTGTATCTTGTATCAACACTTTTTTATTCTTTTTTTCAGTACTGGGGATTAAGCCTAGGGCCTTCACACTTAGCTACATCCCCAACCCTTTTTAATTTTTTTTTGTTTGATTTTAAAAGTGAGCCTTATCCCCAATACCAAAAAAAAAAAGCCTTGCTAAATTCCTCACGCCAACTGAGCTTGAACTTGTGATTCTCCTGCCTTAACCTTCAGAGTACTCTATCCTTTTTCCCCTCATTGATTTTAATTCAATTGGTGGTTAGTGTCTTGTACTAGCTACAGATTTTTGCAGTGTCTAAGAAATGTCATAGTCTGTTTGTGCTACTATAGCAAAATACCACAGGTGAGTAATGTGTAAATACTAGAAAATTATCCCAGTTATGGAGGATAGAAGGTCTAAGATCAAGGCACTGCTTGGTGAAGACCTAGTCTTTCTACTTCCAAGGTGGATCCTTCTTGTTGCATTTTCCAGAGCAAACACATATGTGCTCAATCATCGTAAAGGCAAGTAAAGGTCCAACTCCCCTATGTCAAGCCCTTTTAGAAGGACATCTAATCTTGCTGCACTAGGACAGGGCCGTTGTGATTCAGTCACCTCTCAGATTCTGCACCTCCTAATAGTGTTGCACTGGGGACTGATTTTCACCAGGAACCCCAGAGAAGGTAATCTACTAGTTACTTCTTTAGTGAATCCATTGTCCAATAGCTTCCTCAGAAAGAATACATAAATCTAAGACCTTCCCAGTGCGCTCTGTTCTCATGTGTTATAGGTAATTTGAGTAAGAAAAATAATATTCTTTCAATTCTATCCCATATCCACCTGTTTGTTTAAAACTACATCTCCATTCAGAGTTAGAATCTAATGGTGTTGATGTAGTTGACAATATCCTTCTAGCCTGCAGATTCCGGGTGACAAGAAGTGGGGAAGGGTTCGTCTACATTTCTGGTCTTCCATTTGTAATATGTGCCTTCTCGCTTATTACTTCTCACTTATTATCCACTACCATAGGGTCTAAGTTATATAAAGTGTCATCTTGAATAGCAGTGCTATGCCAACTACTTATATTTTTTGCCAAGGAGCAGAGAATGCAGGGCTTGTTCTCATACTAAAATGATATATATCTTATTAGTCTTTAAACTTTAAAACAATTGCAACACATTTCACAGCACTTGGCGTATAGGTGTGCCTAAAAAGGCTACAGTAAACCATATACTTTGAGTGATTTCAAAAAGGTCAGTATGTGATAGGTTATTCTTTGTTTTTGTCGTTTTTTGAAGCAAAATCTCACTATGTAGTTCAGGCTGGCCTCCAATTCACAGCAATCCTCCTGCCTCAGCTTCCCAAGTTTTGAGATTACAGGTGTGCGCCACCATACCTGTCTGATAGGTCATTTAAACTTGCATGTTTGAACCTTCCAAATATTTCAAAGACAGTCATGGTGGCACATGCCACTTAGGAGGTTGAGGCAGGAAGGTTACAAAGCTGAGTCCTGACTGAAGAACTTAGCAAGACGCTGTCTCAGACTTTTGAAAAAAAAAAAATAGGATGTAGTTCAATGTGAAGACACTGGGTTCAATCCCCAGTACCATGGGGTATGGGTTGGGGGTGTTCTTTAAAACATAGGAGACTGGACCGACATAGTGATCTGTAAGTTTGTGATTTCAAATTGCATAATTTTTAAAGGATTGCCTGGACATCAGGAAGTTGAAGTTAAATATGTGGACTTCGGAAATACTGCAAAAATAACACTTAAAGAGATGCGTAAAATAAAGGATGAGTTTCTGAATCCCCCAGAGAAGGTAATCTACTAGTTACAAACTCTAGAGTTACACTATTAGCACACACATGAAAGTATTTTATAAGTTATTTTTACCATGGAAATGTTCTGATAGCCACTGTTTTAGTCTCTAGTTTTTGATACAATGACTATAAATATGTGGTACTATAGTTATTACTTGAGAAATATGTGGTGCTGGAGGTATAGCTCAGTGGTAGAGTACTTGCCTAGCATGCATAAGTCCCAAACTCTGCAAAAATAATAATGTGTTTATGTTGGTATATAAGTATTAATTATAAACATTTTATATATGTATATTTGTGTCTTAAGTACTTAAACTGGCCTCCAGCTTTTAACATATCATTTTGAGATATATAATGTGATAAGACTTGCACATTCATGATATTTTAAGCAAGAAAGCTCATCTAGAACTACTTTTACTTTATTAAGTTATATGTAATGTCTGAGAGAAGTCTCAGAATATGTGAAAAACTTTAACCTTGTTGATCTCTGGGGAGTGGATCCCTAAAGAAGTATACGAAGGGCTGGATGTGGTAGTGCATGCCTATAAGCCTATAATCCCAGCACTAGGTGTCTGGAGCAGGAGGACTGCCCTGAGTTTAAGACCAGCTTGGGCCCCCTCCCCCAGCACAGAGGAGGTAAGCCACTCCCAGCACCCAGGAGGAGGCTTCCAGGCTACCACACCAACCCCCTCAGCACACAGGAGCTGAGCTAATCCCAGCACCCAGGAGGAGCCTTCTGAGCTGCCGTACAAGCCCTTCAATCAGCGCAGAGGAGGTGAGCCTCTCCCAGCGCCCAGGAGAAGGCTTCCGGGCTGCCATACCACCCCGTCCCCCAAGGCAGAGGAGGTGAGTCTTTCCCAGTGCCCAGGAGGAGGCTTCCGGGCCACCATACCACCCCCCTCAGCACACAGGAGGTGAGCCACATGAGCGCCAGCAACATTTCCCCTCCTCAAAATGAGAAGACACATAAACAAGTCTCAAAACCGGACTTCCAGATGACCTAAAGCAACCCCAAAGGGAAATGAGGTGGAACACTGATACTCAATCACCTGGACTCCCTGAACTGGCAACAAAAAAGGATCTGGAAAAAATAAAATCAGAAATAATTTCTCAGATAACAGCAGAGATTGTGCCCATAGTACAAGACATGATTAATAAAACTACAGCAGACACAGATTAAAAAAAGAGATGAGGAACATGATGAAATCCCAACACAGGAAATAAATGGAACCCATAAAATAGATACAAACAGATTTCCAGGAGATTAAAAACTCCATTGAAAGTTTACGAAGCAGAATGAGCCAATGTGAGGAGAGAATCTCAGATATAGAAGATAAGATTGCAGTTAGTGACCAGGAAAAGAAAAATTGCTTTAAAATAGTAAGAAACCATAAGAAATCAATCCAGCAGCTGCTAGACGATGCAAAGAAGAATGACATAAGACTGACTGGAGTCAATGAAGAAACAGGAGAGAGTGCAGATGACATAAAAAAA